ATCATTTTCAGGTAGTTGGAACAGTCTTGGTTTGTTCTCCTCAAGGCAAATCCCTTCCCCTAGCAGATTTCATAATCCTCTGAAAAGGATTCTTGGTTTTCCCTACACTTTCCAAGCTTCAGTCAGACAGAGTAGCACAAGGAAGTAACTGGCTCATCACATGGCAGCAACATCGTCCTGGGCACTGACCTCCCAGCAACAAACAAGCCACGAGTCAACACTGTTTTTTTTTTTTTTTTTTTCCAAATCACTATTAAATGGGCCAAGAGCCCAAGTTCCAAGCACCTTTCAAGCGAATCAGGAAACTGATTTCCAAAGTATGTTTGAGTATTGCAAAAGATAGACCCTAACTGTGACACTGTAGGCCAGACATTTTGAGTTGTCCCTTCAGATTTGTTAGTAGAGCCCAAAAGAACAAACCTAAACAACAGCAACAACAAAAATCATCAATTTAATCACACAGGTAGAAAAGAGAGCACTACCCATGGATAGAACTGCTATTTGAACAAAAAAAAAGGTCAGTCATCTCCAGCATGCACATAAAATCCACATTTTTTGTTTTTGCGGATTCGTGGAAATGCACTATACAGCAAGCTACACCAAAAAATGTGCTGCCCAGGGTTATCCCACTGGTGGCACGTAGGTGGAGGCATTTTATAAAGAAGTGTTAGTTTTGATGACACTTTCTAGATGGCATGTATGCAGTTGAGCTTAAACTTGAGTTAATTCATTCTTAAAGTTTTTTCTTTGTTCTTTTTAAATAAGTAATAATACTCCAAAGACTTGAATGTTAAGCTTTGCAACTGAACTTACGGGACTTGAGATACATTATTTTGAATTCTCAATCAATTAAAGCAGCTAACTCCACTTGTCCAAAACACGAGATATATTTATGTGGCATCTCAACAGAATACTGTTGCCTCTAGATAGTGGCATAGGTATTAAGATGCTAGACATGAAGCCAAAAAACATAACAAACTTGTGTGCCAACAGTCTATACAAGATTTTGCTGGTAATAATACATGATCTGAAACTAATTTGTTGCATTGAGTATGTAGACCCACTYGTTTACATCAGAAGAGCCATTTTCACATTTAAACTACCCAAAGTGCAGCTATTACAGAACTTGAGAGAACACAAATCTTTTCAAGATCAAAAGTATAACACAGTAACAAGAGGTATGACACTTCCCAAGGCTTTAGCAAGCCCTTTAGTCTAAACTCACAGCAATTACTGTACACACACACACACACACAGAAAAAAAAAAGTTTGTTTTATTGATTCATTCATCTTGCATTCAGGATTTTTGTTTTTCTTTCCGGGCACTTATATTGCCTAACTTTCTAAGTTATTTCTTGAATCGTAATTCCTCCTGTATTCTATATTTCTCTTGCCCTATGTTAATTTTTAAGGTGCCTAGAAAGTTTTCAAGGAAGACCTGCACAACTAAATGCATATGCAAAGCTTCACAGACTGAGCAGCCTGCAGGTGAATGCAACGGGGCTGCTCTGAGTAACAGAGCTGCACTCACAGTCTGGGCCCTGGTCTTTCTCTGCGTGTCTGAAGCTTCCCACAGATGCAGCTGAATGCTTTTGCTTCCCCCTTTTGGCAAGTTGAAGGGAAAACTCATCTAGAGAGAAGAGCCTGAAAGTTGCAAGGTTTAGAGGGTCCACATGGCAAGGAAATGCAGAGGCAATCCCACTGTTCTCTCAAGGCTGGACCCTGCAGCTCTCTTGTACAGAGGGTCCTTCCCACCAGAGGCAGCAGCACCTGGACAGTCCCACCACACAGTGAGTCCCAGCCAACCTGCAGGCCTAGAAGGCAGTGACGGTGAGTTTGCTGCTGCTGCTTTGTGGTACTAATCCTACCTGAAAGCAGCAATATTCTTCCCAAAGTCACAGGTGAAAAGAGGATACAAGCATTTAAAGCAACCCCAAAGCAATATTTTATTATGTAGTTTTATGTCATCTCATGACATGTCAATCAGTATACTGATAACTCAATTAAACTTTCTTGCAAAAGTACAAGTTACAGTAAGAAAAACTCAGTTCTCCTGTCTCAATTGAGGGTTCAACAGCCAAATCTTGTACTGTGCCTTTAGTTCCAAAATCCAAATCCTGACATATCTTAGGCTAAGAACAGCCTCAGTAGTCTGCAAAAGAGCAGTTTCAATGGCTGATAATAAGTACAACCAAATAAATTATTATTCTTGCGACAGACTGGCAGGAAGGATAATGTTACATTACTAGCCACGCAGTTTTATGTATCTGTGAACTACAGTAAGCCAGGGCAGGCTTGTTTTAAGCTGGGAATGGATTTCACCCCTGTGTTTTCAATATCAGAAGCATTCAAATTATCACAGCATGAAATAACAGGTTTTTAATACTGCGATGCGTTTTATGCTGTGGAAATTGCTACATGATGCAGTGGTGACATGTTTATATAGAGCACTCATAGAAAGGATTATATAAATCATGGCTGTCAGCAAAATGGAAAGCATCTGTTTAGGCTGTGGCACGCTGCTAGGGCTCCCTTTCCTGCCGCTCGCTCGGTGACACGGTGCAGAGCCCAGCTGGGAGCCCAGGGGACAGGCAGGGCAGGGACAGGCTTTTGTTTCCCCACGTGCTGCTGGAGCTGGGCAGCTCTCACCCTGTAGCTGCTACCATCACTTCACCTGCATCATCCTGCACGGAGAGCAGCCCAGCAATCCTGTCCCACAGGTTTCCAGGGAATGATACTAAAGGCCCGTTTTATTCATTTATATAGAAGTATATTACATATGAGTAATGCTTGAAGGAAAAGCTTCCCTTGTTATATGGGGGCTGAGGGAGAGAAGATGACAAGCCACCCACCACAAAACAAAAGCACAGACACCTAACTGCTGAAGCAATGTTATTCAGGAGATCTGTGTATTTACAAAATCCATTTACAGCTTCTTTTGGATGAAACACCCTCCAAGAATAGTTAAAAGTCTACATAATGCTCTAGAGTATTAGCTTTGCTTTTGGACCACCAGTTTAGCTGACACAGAAAAGTCTAGTTGTAAAAGACTTCACACATCTAGACACATTGTTCTACTTAAGCCAGTACTGACTTACACACACACAAAAAAATTATTGGCTTTGAATCAGCTGATTCAGATGGTATCTTATGAATTAAGTACTTTGATTTTTAATAGAAGTCCACCCACTTTTGGTCAAGTCAACCTTTTCTGAGATCAGGAAGGGGAAGACAAGGAAGAAATGCTTTACCTACCGCAAGAAAATAAATAGAAAGAAAAAGCAAGGCAGGACACAGACTCTGTGGGAAGTGTACACATGAGCATAGAAAGGGTGTTCAGTGCTCCTCAGAAGCTTAAGCCAAGATCAAGCTCCAAAAAGCTACTGTTAATCTGAACTGTGGAGATTCTATGTATTATCTCACTGAAGCCACTTTACAGTGTTATATTTAAAAAACAAATGGAATTTAATGAAAAACTCATCATAACAATCATTAGACTCCAAGTTAGTTTCTTCCTGCTGTAAGAGATTGGATATACAGAGAGTGCTTTAAAAAGGTCCCTGAAACAATGTTATAAATGTGTGATTTGCGCCCGAGGGAAGAACAGCTGGAGAATTTAGGATCCTCCCATATTTTAATTCAGAGTGATGTCAGAGTCCTTGGAAGCTTTGTCAATTCTGCATTTATAGCACATCAGTAAGTCCCTGAAACTAGCGCATATCTCTGTTAGAGCATCAGCTTGGCCGTTAAAGCAGAACAAGCAGAACTTTGGGTTGCTAAAAGAAATCACACAAGACTTCTCAGAGGTTTTGAAGTTGCCTTAAAATTACTTGCAAAGTTAAAAAAAAAAGTTTTTGAACACAGTCTCATGTGCACCAGAGTTTACACACGCTCTCAGCAAGCTTTACAATACATTGGAAAAAGAGGCTGCTCTGCCATTAAGTGTCTCATGGTGCAGATTTGAAGGGGCTCCTTTAGGGTTATGGAACAACATTTAACTTCATGTTAAAAAGTTAYGTTTGGGAGGCCCTTTTAAGTCTTGAGCACAGAACATTTTATAAAGTTTTATTATCAAACATAAGAAGAGCCAGAGAAGGCTTAAGTGGGAGTATATTTGAGATTGCTTAATCCTTTGATTGTTATGCAAGTRCATTTCATAACTTTATTTGAAGGACCAGAGAACAGTTTTAATACTAACAATAGGCTCAGTCTGACAGCTCAGGCTAACCCCAGCGTGCATCGTGCCCTCCCTTGGCATTCCCATTTACGTAACTCCACTACACCGGGGTTAAAAATAAAATACAGGGAAGTAAGATTTAGGTAGATGGAGAGGGTAAGATCATATAGCCCGTTTTCTTTGATTAGCATCTGTTAGCTAAAGACAACACCAACAAGATTCCACATTAAGTGTTTTCCGACTTCTACGGGCAGCCCCCAGAGAGGAAGCTACGAGGGCAAATATGCAGAATTCCTGAAAAAGTGTTTTTGGCTGGTGTTCTTGARAGTTTTCTGCCTTCTCTCCAGGCCCTCAGAGGGAACAATTTCCCTCCAGGGCAGCTCTCGCAACACCTCCAGCAGGGTTTTGGAGCCTTTCCTCAGSGAAGGGTGAGCTCTCTACTGTAACCATCACTAAAACAGTATCTTAAAGTGAAAAAGCTGGAGAGACAGCTACGGGAGGAGGGGAGGGGAAAGTCATTCATTAACAGTAGCAACCTTTAAGCAGATTCAGAGGTTACGCTTACGGAGGAATTCATACCGAGGGCTACACCAACTGGCACGAGATTTTTATACTCTGAATTCTTTGAGAAAGCTTTTGATCATTTCGATGCCAATCACTCYTGTTAATCAGAACGACATATCGAAAGCAAGAGACCTGTGAGCTCGCTAACAGARGGGAGCGAACGTAACACTAAGACAAGGAGGGTTAAGCAAGCCTTCCCCCCCGGCACAGGATTAACTGGAAGCCAGGCGGCCGCCCGAGCAAACAAGCGCCTTCTTACCCAGAAGTGCGCGTGGCAGTTGACCATCATGGTCCTCTCGATGAGCTCGTCGGGGCACTCGAGGAGGTGGTGGCCGGAGACCACGCCGGCGTTGTTCACCAGCACGGAGACCTCGCCGACCTCCTTGCGCACGCGCTCGGCCGTCGTGTAGACGTTCTCCCGCTTGCCCACGTCGCAGGTGTACGTGTAGACCTGCAAGCTGCCCTGCGGCGCCGCCTCCTTCTCCCCGTCCTCCCCAGCTGGCACGGGAGACACAAGAGACAGGGGGAAAGGGAGGCAAATGGAGTTTGCAGCTGGAGCGGAGCCCGCAGGTAGCGGCGGGCGCTCGTGTTTGCTCTGGCGTCACGGGCGCGCGGCGGCTGCCAAGGCCTTTGTGCTGCTTACCTCGCGGCGCGGCCGCGGCCTCGTCGAGCTGCCGGTAGATGTGCCGCACCATGCCCGCCGTCTCCTCGTTGCTGCGCGTGTTGATGTCCCAGAGCACGAGGAGCGCGCGGCGGCGGGCGAACTCGAGGGCGAAGAGGCGGCCCAGGCCGCTGCCCGCGCCCGTGATGAGGCACACCTGCCCCGCCACGCTCTTCTCCTTGGGCCGCACGAGCCACTTGGCRGCGGCCAGCACGAAAGCCCACAGCACCTTGAAGGTCACCACGAAGAGCTCCAGCAGGATGTTCATGATGCCGCTGCTGCCGCCCGGCGCCGCGC